AGGTGCCGGTCACGGAGCGCTGAGCCACGCGTGGTGCAGGCACTGGGCGGCTGTGGCGCGGCGCTCGGGTGCGTACTGCAGCGCGGGGAGCAGGAAGCTGGTGAAGGGGGTGACCTCCTGTTTTGTCCAGTTGTGTCTGTCCGCCAGGATGCTGTGGAGGCTGCGGGGGGAAAGCCTGGAGATCCGCAGGAGAGCGCCTGGCAGAGAGAGTGCAAGCACACTGCCGTCATTACGCTCCTCACATGCGGCTCATCCAAAGCAGCCTGAAGGATCCCTTCCTTCCCCTTCGAAGCTTCCCCTCTGTAAGCTTCACCTGCACTGCCCCTCCCAGTTTGGCTCTCGGGTGTTTCTCAGAAATCATCTCTCCAAGCTAGCGTTTGGAGTCTCCTTGTTCCAAGCACTGCTTAGATGAGAACGTGCCAAGAGCGAACAGAAGCGTTCACAGAATCACCCTGCCGAAGCAGTTGCTGCTTGTGCCCCGGGCCTGTCCACATCCAACCCTGAACGCATCGGCCCGTTTCAGTGCCAGAGCTCACAAGACACATTTAATTTATTTTTGGCCCAGGAGAGTGCCACTACTGCCTGAGAAGCTATCCTTGTTCCCAGGAGCACATAGCGTAAGTGTAGTGATTCAGGTCAGGCCAGTTTGGTTCACACGGAGAATGAATGTAGAACAAGAACGAGTTTTGACTCATGAGCACCGTAGAAGGAATAAGTGTGAGCCAAGGGTGTGAATGTGCAGGGAGGTGCTTGTTGAACTATGGCCTGGGACTAGCACTCAACAGCGAGCGACTGTGGGGTGGCTGAGGCCCGGCGGCCGGTGAGCGTGAAAGCAGAGAGCGAGGGTGATGGACTAAATTCTGCAAGCATGGCGTCGTGATGCCTTGAAGTCAGAGACAAGGATTTCAAGCCTAATGAGTCAAAGGGAAATGAATTGGGGAGAATAAAACAGAAGAGATGTTACAGTTGGGTCAGAAGACTAAATATAGCAGCTGCCTTGGAAGGATGGAGGGATATGAGTGTCCCATTCCTGATCATTGTTCTCTGGCAGTGATTGGGTAAAATCCAGCCGATTACGTGCTCTCTTCAGCCTTTCCTGATGTGTAGCCATTTCCTGTCCCTATTTCCATCCTCTCCAAATCCAAAGGAGAAAGAATGGAATTTTTTTCCCTGTTGGATGTTTGCTATGATCGGGTTTTTTGCATTCATCCCTGGAATGCTCCTGGATTGCAAACGTAAGGCAGGGCAGGAAGTGTCACAAATCTCTACTTGCCTTCTGTCCCTGCTTGTAGCCTGTGTTGTGCAACAACTTTTGGGGTGAAAACTGTGTGAGCTTAGTAGGAGTGTGTCAGGGATCCACAGTGATTTTTAGAGTAAACTTCCTTACTCCAGTTCTTACCTGGCCTGCTGAAAAAATTTGTTGACTTGTTCCAGGAGAAAGCAATGTGGGGAGGAATTCTTCCCAAAAGTTCAATAATACGAGCAACGTGATCTAGACATGAGGGAGAGAAAACACATCTAGATACAAAGATTGTGAGACTTCTGTCAGTGAAATGAGTAAAACTGATGGACTCCTACCATCATCTCTGGAGAAATATTTCCCAGGTTGAGGATCAAATAGACACTCCCCAGTTGCCATTTCAAATGCCTAGAAATGGAGTAGTGTTGTTAATTCATTGACTGACCCAGAGGTTTTTTTCCCCAGTAACTGATAGTACCAATTTCCCTTGCTATCACAGAAAACTGATCCTAAACCATGGAAATACTCACACTGCTTAAATCCATAGCATGCTGAAACAGCACCTTTGAAACCCCGTATGTGCCTGATTCAATCAAATCTATGCATTAACATACACGGAGCATGAATTGCCTTATAGTGTAAACTAACAAAATGAATTTTATCAGGAGCAAAAGCGAGTGTGTGCAGACAGCCCTTTCTCCTCCTCAGCAGGGAAGCCTGGCTCCCCGTGCAGCGGGTGCCGAGGACACGCTGCCCTGGCCTGTGGGTGTCACGGCGGTGTCCCCCGTCCTACCAGGCAGCCTGTGCTCCAGATATCCGCAGGAGTGCCGTAGTCCAATCCAAGCAGCACTTCCAGAGCACGGTACGGCTGGGTCTGTATCTCCTTGGAAAAAGGCTTGTACTGAAACAGAAACAAACTGGTTAGTGCCTGTAAGCGCTTGCGGTCACAAGCTTCCTGCAGAGCGAGGAGGACACTGTGGGGCAGAACTGAATACCCATATGAAACTCTGCCCAGGGCAGACACATTCTCAGCCCCACCAGCACCAGTGTGAATTTATCTCCCAACATTTCACACTGAACATGGTTTTGAATTTCTAATTGTAGGAACTAACTGCAAGCTGAAGAAACCTCCAAAGTTGAGTGTGTCTCCAGGAGTGCCCAGCTCTGAGCAGGGAGCGCTGAATATAACACCCCCCCCCAAAATCGGCACCTCTTCAGCACGCTGAAATAAGTGTTCAGCTGTAAAAAGTCAGACACGCAGGGTGGGATAGAAGCACACAGCATCCCGCATCGTCACGGGACTGAGACTCAGAGCAGACTCACTGTCCAGCACGCGCTGCCCAGATCTGCAATTTTCACTTCTATGCTCATTAAATCAGATTCTTCCAATCGATTGCCAGGATCACCTCCTGGAGGGAGAGGACAGAGGGAAATCAGGTCTTTCCAAACCAACAGGTATGCATCCCTTACCACGGGAGAGGGACGTATGCCTGCCTTTAAACATTTTCAGCCTAAGAGGTCCTAAAACACTTTTTATCACCAACTCTGTCTTTTGAGGAAACAAAAATGAGGAGCTGGTGTCCAGTCAAAACCTAAGAGGATGTTCAGGAGGACAGTAGCTTGGAGTGGAGTGGTGTGACCACATGCTCCTGTCCTGCTCCGAGGTTACTGTGGGCTCAGAGGAAAGCGCTGGTCAGACACAAAACATCCATCATGCCTCTGTAGCCTTCAGCAGTCCTGGCTGTCACGGACCTTAGACACAGCCTGCTTGGCAAGCACCATAAAGGTTACGTTTTCATATGTCCCTGAAAAAGGGTAATTTTTGGTTTACTGCTTTACAGTGAGCTGTCAGTGTATGCCTGTATTGTGCCTTTCTGCTCCAAGCAAGACTCAGTCACTAATTTAGCATTCCCTGATTGCCCTGGAGTTTGAGAGACAAAACAGCACCGTCATGGGAGAAGTGCTCACGGGAGAACATCATGCGAGGAAAATACAAAGGGTCTCATTGCTGGGAGACGAGCTGATCTCTCGAGAAACTCTCCAGCCCTACATCTTATTTGATATTCACACCGTTCTCTGCAAATAAATTATGTCTCAAAAGGCCTTGAAGATTAGCAGTACATACAAGTCTCCCACAAGCCTCAGAAACACGGGAAATAAAGGGCAGAAGTGTCGTACTGCTTTTTGATCAAACCATTTTGTATGTAAACCTTTCAGCAGTTTACACAAGGGAACTACCCTGTACCTAAAGCCCTGAGAACGAGCTCCGAGGTCGTGGTGGGGCTGTTAACAGATGCCCGTGATCTGTAGTTGTCCTCCACACCAACCTACCTGCCAGACCACGTTTCTGTAGGAGCCTTGGGTAGCCGCCTGATGTTTGTGCTAAGCAGAGCTGGGAGAGGCCTCTCAGCAGCGTGAGCTGGCTGTACTGTTTTGTACTGGCCGTCACAGGAGATGTGAACTTACTCCTAAGTTATCTGTATCTGCTACCTCACTGTTTCCCTCCTGGCAATAAACACGTAAGTCCCTTTTCTTGTTAAAAAACCCAACAAAAGAGACTGGAGTGCTCACCTGGTCCCTTTAGCCTCAAATCTGTTCTCTGGCCATAGTCGAGTGTATCGGGCAGAAGCCTTTGGAGGCTTTTGGCGCGTCCGTACAGCAAGACGTTCTCCGGTTTGATGTCTGCGTGGATGCTGCGGCAGGGCTTG